TCCCCTACCTGGACAGAGAGGTTCTCCCAGATTCCCCCAACCTCCCACAGTTTTCCATTTCCCAAAGTAAAGAGCTAAATCCTGGGCAAAAGGGCCAATTTTGGGAGCTGGTACCTTGACAAAGGCTGGGGGCCATATCTTCTGGGAGCCATGGTTGAGCAGCAGCTGGACAGTGAGGTGGGGCCGCAGCTCCCTCTTGACGGCCGCCCTCTGCAGCACACAGCCCAGGGGAGTCGATGGCGTTGACGTCAGCCCCGCGCTGCAAGAGGAATCGTGCCAGGGGGGCGTTGGCAGCCCCGCACGCCTTGTGCAAGGGGCTCCTCTGCATCTCATCCCGGGCGTCGATGTCAGCGCCATGGGCAGCCAGGAGCTGGCAAAACTGTAGGCAGCCCTCTCCGGCGCCTGGTGCTTGCCCACAGAGGATGCCGAGGGCTGTCTCCTCCCGCCCACTGTGCGTGTCGACGTGCGCCCCATGACGCAGGTAGAGGCAGGCGTGGTCACGAAGGCAGTGCCTGGCCGCCACGTGCAAGGGCGTCTCCCCATCATCCTCGCTGGGCAGGTTGACGATGGCCCCGTGTCTCACCAGGAGCTTGGCACATCTGCGAAGAGATGGGGAGGCTGGGGGTGTGGGGGATATGGGTGTGCACTGCCCAGGTGGGTTTTGAGGGGCCACAGGTGATGATGGGGTGGGAGGTGACGTGGGATGAGGGTGGGGGGTTATTCTGGAGCTGGGTTGCACAGGGATTGCAGCACTTGAGCATTTTGGGAAAGAGCAGCAGAAGGTGGGAGGGGTGAGCCTGTGCCCTGGTGTCCACCGTGGTGGTGGTAACGACGGTCATTTGGGCACTGTCTCTCCCTTGCCTTGACCAAGATAACTCATGAATGGTCATCCTGGATCATCATCATTCATGAATGGTCATCCCTGGCTGTCCTTGACCACCTTGACCATCTTAGACCCACCAGGGAATGGTGACCCTTGTCCCAGCTGTGCCGGTGACTGGGCAGTGCCGGGAACAGTGCCTGTGGTTAGCCATACCAAATGGGTCTCTCCTAGCTGGTGAAGGGTGAGGGATGTACCCAGCCATGACGAGGAAATATGGAGTGATGGGCCCCTTCCTTCCATCAGTTTGCCAGCTGCAATTTCATCTCCCAGCTTGGGTGCAGCCCTGGAGTGTTATGGAGCTGATCTATACAATCCCATCCCTTGGCTGACATCCACAGAGCTTCTCAACTGAAAACATCCTAAATTGCTGCCTCCACCTTAATCCAGGCTGAGACCAAGCTGACACGGTGGGGAACTCTTGATAATCCCTCCATGCAGCAGAAGAGCTCGATATGGGTTTGCTTGGATATAAAAATAGATTCTTCTTCTTGCATTAAGGGACCCAAACACCTGTGTTGGGCTCCTGCCCCACAGCGAGGACTAAAGGATTGTGTTTTCTGCCTATCCTGAAAATAAAAACCTTTGCAGGTGGTTTAAGCCTGTGGAAGTGAGTTTTGCTGGCTTGTTTGGCACCTGGTGATGATGAAGTAGCAGCATCTGCAGTTCCCAGGAGGAATAAATCAAGGTAAGAAATCCTCCCTGTTTTTAATGGCTGCTCCCACATATATTTCCCTCTAACATCACTGTGTGTGGTTGCAAAGAGAGGTCATGGCTGCTGCGAAGTGGGGATGCCACTTCCCATTGGAGCTTTTCACCTGCATCCTTCTGACAGTGGTTGAGGGTTAAAGATGCCTGGTATGACTTAATGTGTTTGGGTTTGGTTTTTTTCTTTTTTTTTTTTTTTTCTTTTTTTTTTTCCTTTGGTGTTTGCAGTAAATGGATGTGATCAGCCAGTCTAAGCGAATCAAAGTGACTGCTCCATCTCCTGCCGAGAGCTGCTGGGGCCAGCGCAGCTCAACGTCACTGCCCGGGCAGGGCTGTCAGCTGCTGGGTTAGTACATGGAGCTGAGCTCATTGCTGCATGGAGGAGTTGTTTTGTTTTTTTTTTTTTTTGTGGGGTGGGTCAGACCCATGTGCTGTCCAAGCAAGACCTTGAAAATACAGCCATCTTGTGTTTCCCAAAAGATGTTGCTGGGGAGGTGAGAAGTCCTTCAGGAAGCCTCAGTAATGGCTGGCTGGAGTCTGGGGAGGTGTATTGACCGTTAACACTCCCCCCTTCCTCGTCTCTTTTATTTTCCTCTAACACGCTTTTCTTTCAGCTCAGGTGTCACTCGGAGCCCTAAATAAGAATCTGGGCTGATACAGAAGCAAGATGGCGGGGGGCTGTGGGGGAGTGGAGTCCCAGCCTGATCCCTTCCTTCAGCAGAAGGGATGGGGAAGAAAAGGAGCCCCCAGGGAGGAGGGGTGGTGTTGGGACACTGTTGTTTTTTTTTTTTCCTGGCCTGGATGAATGCTAATTTATGTGGGGAAAATAATAATAGTAAAATAATAACAATAATAGTCTATGTGAATCTTTCTGGACTTGCAGCATCACCTCCCTGAGGTTTGATAGGAGCTGGTGAGACATTCTTTGCCCTTGGCAGTTCAGGATCTGTGAATACCTCCTTGGACTGCTTTTCCCATGTATATGAAGCCTGAGTTTGCCAGGAAAAAAAATTTGCAGGACCTGTGGGAAGAAGCTGTTTCTGCATCCTTTGCAGATATAGTGCTCCTAGGTGCTGCTGACCCTTGCTGGGGGTCCCTGCCACGGATGCTCTCTGCTGGAGATGCAGTTGTGGGTGAGTGGATTGAGCATGGGGTTGTGGCAGCCCCAAATCCTCAGATCCTTACTTTACAATTCTCCTTTTACTTTAAAACATGCTGAATCCCTTTCTCAAGCATCGGCTTTTTTGAATGAGTGTTTTTGGCAGATCTTGTCTGCTGCTGGTTGGTGAAACTTCATAGGAGTGGGTCTGTTGCTGGAGCAGATCACACCACAGTTTCATCGTGTTTACTGGTCTTAAAGCATCTCTGCTTTTGCCCCTGGCGAGGAGGTGGTTGTGCTTGGAGATCCTGGGTGCAAACAACGTGCTGGTTTTGGCAAGCACTGCGTAAACAAGAGTGCTCAGGCTGAAGGTTTACACCTGCATGGGTGAGACAGAGGGAATATCCTCCTGCCCTTAATTTCCAGGTAAAGGGTGACACACCGTGGGTTTCCTGGGGAAGCTGAGAGCTGTGCCCAGCCTAGAGCCCTTGCTCTGCTGTGGCGTTTTCCCTCACTGAGAGTGAGGTGGGAGTTGAATTTCTCTTGACTTCCTGCTAGGCATTCCAAATATTCCTCCAGAGATACCAGAGTGGAAATGCCACCCTTCCCAGATGCTATTTTCCAGAAGGGTTATTCTTACTTATTATCAAGTTCAGTGGCTAACTTGTTGGAAGAAACCCAAGCTGGTTTACGTTGAATTTTCCCCCTGGTTACTCCTCCTTCGACAAAGAGGGAATGTTAGTGAGGGGCTATAAATAAGGGGTGATCTCCTCCCTCCAGTTAATGCGAATCGCAGGCTTCCATGAGGGGCACGTGCCTCCTGTTTGGATGTATAGGGCATCAGCAGGTGCTGGGTAGATGCTGTTCATATTTGCTGGTTATGTGTTCTTATTTTAGCCTCTAGTCTCTGCTCACGAGCTCATACACTCTAGCACTTGACCAACATTTCTGGCTTCTTGCATTTATTTATTTATTTATTTACTTATTCATTAACATAAATATGACTTATTTATAAACATTCTGTTGTTCACCATCAGGTTAGACTAAAATCCCATCAAATAAGGCTCAGTGATCACTCGCTGCTTTTTGAGGGCTCCCCTCCAGTTTTCTGGGAATAGTGCAAGAAACGAGGGGTTTGGTTCAGCAGAAATTCAGGCACAGGGTGGCAAAGCAAACCAGTTTCTCTTCCACCCAGCCTGGTACCATCAACCTTGCCAAGCTCACTGGTGGCAGTGATACCCTCAAAAAGCCTCACACAGAGCTCTGCCTAATTTTGACTCATTTAAACTCCCAGACCTTTCCTAACTCATTCGCAGGTGATGGGTTAACATACAAAAATGTCTCCTTGCTTGGACAAGTCACTTGTTAGGTTAAAGTCACATTAATTTGTGATAACTGATGTTAGTACTACAGGTTTGACTTGCGCTGGGGTACTGGCTCAAATAAATGGGACAAAATGATTTGGAATTTTTATTACTTTATCAACAGAGTTGGGGCAGACGTTGATGCAACATTGGGCAGGACATGCCCATTGCCCTCCCCGGCCGTCTCACTGGCTCCTGCTGGTCATGGCTCCCAGCATCCCAGCAGGATGCTGCTCAGTTTGGGATGAAAAATTCTCTGGGCTGGGAAAGCAGGATTAATCTTGGAATGGGATGCGATGAATAACCAGCAGGAGGAGCAGGGGGTTGGGGCAGTGGAGGCTGGAGAAAAATTCCTGTCTCAAAAACCCACTCAGGCCTGCAGTTTTCGAAAGAAAAAATTTGTTTAGTTTTTTTCCTTTTCTTTTCTCTCCTTTCCTGCACCCTTTCCTCCCTGGGGCTGGAGTGAGGCTTTCCCATCCTCTGCTTGCTTATTTTTTCCCTTGTGGTATCTCTCAATCTATAGGTGATTTATTCCAGGGTTGTTCCCATTTAGAAAAATGTTGTTCCCCAAGCTTGGCTCTGAATGCAAGCCTGCTTCTCTTTACAAGATGACAAACTTTTTGGGCACCACAAGCCACCTGGTGAACTCTGGCAGTGCTGATGCCAAGGGCTGGTTGTGCCGGTGTGAATGCCAGCCTGGGAGCATCGCTCTCTGCACAGTCTCTTTACGAAAACTTTGTGAGCTGTAGATTCTCGTCTATATGAACCCTCATTTTCTCAAGTCAGCTTGGTGAGTAGTTTCTCCGAAGAGTAGGGCCAGGCGTTGGGTTGTGTATCTGCTCTTGGGCTCTTTATATCTTGCTCGAGGCCCATTAAGGAGCTGGTCTTTCCAGCCACAGGGATGAGTTTCCGAAATGATGGTACCAAACGCTCTGAATTTTTTATTTTAGAAATGCTGAACAGAGCAGAGGACAAGGTTTAGCACTAGATGATGCTAAATGCTGGCTTTTAAAATCTGTTGGGTTTTCTTTTTTTGCTTTTTTTGTTTTTTTTTTTTAGTAATGCTTTTTTCCCGGAGCCAGAAGGGCAGCATGTCCTCATGATGCTGAAATAGCTGGAGGGTGCCTCAGGGCCAGGTCCATCGATGGCAAATTAGTGCCCATCTCCATTTGGGAGCCTTGCTATCTTGCTAGCATTGCCTTTTTAGTATCTGTCTTCCTGCCTGGCTCCTGTTTTCTGCTAATTCTTCCCATGATGAGCTATCCTCAGCTAACATCCCCTAAGCAAAAGCCATCTGCAGAGCTGGCAGCTCTGTGTTTGCTCCCTATCCCATTGGGCCCCTCGGTCACCAACTCTCCTCCTGCATTGACTCATCCCAACATCCATCTCCCATCCCTCTGAGCTGCAGTCTCGGAGCCAGAAAATAACTCTGATTTCAGCTCACAGGGTACAGAGGAAGCTTGGAGCACAGGCACTGCTCAGCCATAAACCCAAATTATACAGAGATAGGGGTGATATCTTCTTCTGTCATCACCTGGCTTGATGATGCTTTCATCCCCACATCGAAGGCTGGAGGAGGTAAGCCCTGGGGGATTTCTCTCCAGGCAGGCTCTCCCTGGTTGCGCGGGAAACCTGGGATCTTCAGAGAGCTTTTTCCATCTGACATATCTGCAGGAGCTCTCTCCAAACGCGGCACCTTCGCCATTCCTTCTGCTGTGGGTACTGCGATGGGAGGCAAGGGCTGCATCCCCCATCCCTGCGATGAGCCTTCACACTGCCCCGTGCCTGCTCTTCCCCCCGGCACCGCCAGGAGAGTTGAGACTCTTCCTCTCCCCCTCAATTATTTTTATTTTATTTTTTTTCGGGGTGCCAATAAAGGCAGACTCCTTTAATCATCCCAGCTTTAAGAGGAAAACGGGAGAGCGCCAGGGAGAGAGTGCAGTGAATTTAGAGACTCATCTTACCCCACCATGTTAATTATCTCTGCTGTAAAAAAGAGGTCAAGGAGAGGAACTCTACTAAATAGGCCGACGTTGGCATGAACAGCTCCTAAAGTGAAGAAGGTAAGACTGAACTTTACTGGAACTTTTTTTTTTCCCATCTCTTCAAAAAGCTCCTAGATTAAAGCTCTGATATCTTTTTTGTTGAAATCTCATGGATTCTGAAGCTCAAATGGCTGGAAGGAAGCCCAGATAATTTTTTTTTATCCCAGTCACTGAGAGGCTCAAAGGTTTTAAGTCCTGCCCCCATGGTGAATTGCCGAGTATATGGGAATACAGAAGAACCCGGCACATAGGTGTTCTGGCCATTGTTATCAAGAGGGAGAAAAATAAAATAGCTCTCTATGTAGGTCAATGACCTGCTCTTTATTGTCAGTAAAAAATTAAGGATGACCTAAAATCTACTACTCAATAAAAAAAATAATAAAATAAAAAAAAGGCAAGGTAAAGTAGTCTCCCCCTAATCAAAGAGGAAATGTTTGTGTTACCTAAAGCTTGACCTCCTCAGTCTCTAACTTTGGCAAAGTCTTTGCGATTTAAAAGCAGTGGTCGAAACCTCAAAACCTGTCTGAAATGTCTATTAATTTTTGATCTTTCAAGGGAGTTGGCTTAGTTATTGTAGAAGCCCCCGTAGCGCCGGGTAGCGTAGTTAAGGGTCTCTCAGCATTTCCATTATAAAGCCCCAATATTTGAGGGCTTATAACTCAGCTGTTTCCACGTTGTGTCTGTCTGACCCCCATGTTGCAGTTAGCTGGCTCACCCGCCATCCCCCTCCATCCTTCTAGGGGGAAAAAACACGAAAATCAGTGGCAACAGCTCATTTTCAACATATATATGTGTATATAGGTATGGACAAAAAAGGGCTGCCTGGACCTCTCTGGACCGTGAGTTCCCCTCCATGCACGGACCTGGTTTTGAGCTGGTCTCATCTCTATGGGGAAAGAGCGAGTCAGTGAAGCCTAAAATACCCCCAGGGGGCTTTTAGGATGGCTTGGAGTCTGGAGACTTGAAGGTCAAAAAGGGAGCTCAGGTGAAGGAATTAAAACCAGCTCCTTATCAATGATGACCGCTGCTTGTAACATCTCCCTTACCCATCTCACTCCTTCCAACCCTCATCACACCAAGGATGCATTTGATTAATCCCTAGATTTTTGGCTGAATCGAAATTTAATTGATCTTTGACTTTTTTTTTTTTTTTTGCTGTCTTGCAGAGACTCCTATTTATAAGCCGTGCTTGAGATATTTACGTCTGCAAACCTTTTCATTTCTGGCTGCTTTTCTTTTGAGGAGCTTTTTCCCTGACACCTGGCCCACGATACATCGGAGCTGTATGGGGAACCTTGTCTTCGACACCTATTCCTAGTTAAGCTTGCTCCCTGCTGAAAGAGGAGAGGACTGAAGCCCGGGGTGGTTTTTGCTGAAGCCAGCAGGTGATGAAATTTGTTATGGCCTTAAGCAGTTGCATCAGGATATCAATGGGCTGAGCTGTTTATAGAAGAAAAAAAAAAATCCCAATTCCCTAGTTTAATGATTCAGGCACTTAAAGTCCTACCAAGACATGCATGTGTGAAAGAAAAGCTTATTTTTTCAAGGCAGTGTTTATGTCCATCTCTGTGTGATGTTTGAGAAGGAGCTAGAACCCTGATTGGCACCAACATCCCCCATGGATGGGGTAAGTGTGGGCTGAGGAGTGCAGGAGGTTGGGGTGACCCACGCACCCCCTGACCAGAGCTATCCCGAGCATCTCCTGAGGGAAAGTGAGCTGGCCCTGGGATGCAAGACGTAGTATCTTAGGATAAATCACCAGAAAAGAGGAGAAAGGAAAAGCACATGGAGGCAGCGTGTGTTTACCAGCAGTAGGAGGATGTTGACGGGTCCAGGAGGAACCCTCTGCTTACCCCAGGGAGCCTTGGTTGGTGCAGAGGTGCAGCGGGGCCAGACCCTTGTCGCTCCGCAGGTTGGGGTCAGCCTTGTGCTCCAGCAGCAGCTCGACGCAGTCGGTGTGACCCCCTAGGCAGGCTTCGTGGAGGGGCCCAAGCCCCCCTGGTGCCAGGTCGGAGTCGGCCCCTCGGCGGAGGAGGTGGCGCAGGCAGGCGGTGTGACCCCGCCGGGCGGCGAGGCAGAGCGGGGTGCTCAGCTCCCGCTTGTACTCCAGCGACCACAGCCCTGCGGGAAGGACAGAGCGGGGCTGGTGCCTGGGGCTGACCCCCTCCCACACTAGGGACCCCCTCCCACACTAGGGATCCCCACAGGATTTGCTCAGAGGATGTTCCCACCCCCAGGGCACCAGTTTTGTGAATAAACTGCATCAACATGCCACTTTTGTGCTTTTTTTTTTTTTTTTTTTCCCTTTCTTTCAGGTCCCTGGTAATTTCAGGGCTTTCAAAGAGCCTGGTTGTGGTTGGTGGCTCCTCTGACACTAAGTGGAGAAAAACTCCCTCAGAGTGTGCACACCCATGAGCTGGGTAAACCAACACTTTGGATTTTAGCAGGAGGTAAAAAGCAGCTCATGAATTCCCAACCTGCAACCAGGGGAGTTAAAAACTGTCTTGGCTGGGACTGGGCTGGACCTAAAGGCACCCAAGCTAAGTAAGGAGTATGTTGGGTGGGTGATGCAGGGCTGGGCACTTGGGCTGTGTTGGGTTTGGGCACAGCTAAGTATTGCATTTCTTGAGCAGCTCCAGAATCTCTGGGACCATTCAGTAGCTGCACAGTGTCCGGTGAGCATCTGGGACCCTGGGGAGCATCTGGGGTTGCAAGGCACCAAGTACCACCACTTTGGGAGCATCATCTTCCTCCCAGATAGGACCAGGCTGCTCTTCCTGAGCCCCTGCACAGGGAATTTAGGCTGCCAGCCCTTTTGTAAGCATGCCTAAGCCACCGAGCACCCCATCCCAACCTGAAAAAAATCACCTGGACATGCACTTTTTTTTTTTTTTACACTTCCCTGTCCCTCCGGTGAGTTAGTATGTGCAGAAGAGAAGAAAATAATAAAAGTGCTGAATATTTATAGCCAGGGCTGTTGAGCACAGTCAGCTAGCCAGAAACCAGCCACCTTGGGACAGGCTCTGTAAAGAGAGAGTTAGGCACTTAAATGCATGGCGTGTCTCCTAATTATGGTTAGTAAATACCTGTTGTTGTTTTAGTTTTTCTGGGCTGGTCTTTAAAGAGAAAGTACCTGAGAGTCCGTAAGACGCTTGGCTTTTCACCTGCCACTCCAGCTCATTTTTACTGATCTCAAAAACCAGGTTGACATCTTGATAGTATCGATCAGTCAGGACCTCGAGGCTTCTCAGGTCTCCTGTGACCAGGGCTGTGTAATACTTGGTGGCAGGAACATGAGCTGTTAGAGGATGTTCCGAATCCAATTTGGGGCAAATCTTTAGCTTTTCTGTTACAGGTTCCGGTAACTCTCCCATTCCAGTGCTTCCCGTGTGAGTAGGTCCTAGCTGGGAGGATAGATGGGCTTTTATAGTTCATTGTTTCCAACCTCCTGGGCTCATTGTCTAATTATAATCCAGTTAAGGCTCTATTGTCGTTGTATTTATAACTCTGGCAGGGTCAGATGATAACTGGCAGGAGATACAATGAGGGTCAGACGGTCACTGGGCTGTGTTGTGGCAGCACCTCTTGGATTAAATTGCCGGTTTAATTGCAGGTAGGAGCTTGAGATGTGGGGTGGTTAGGCTGGGAGGACAATGGTACCTACAGATTAGGGGGTAAAAAAAAAATACATAAAAAATTTAGTCATCTCCTGTCTATATAACCTGATTTGTGTGCTCTGAGAAGTGTGATTTTTTTTTTTTCCCCCTACCTAATGCTCTTGTTGTGTTTGTTATTTTTTTTCTTCTTATTTTCTTTAAGGCACTAATACCTGTTTCCAGTCTTATGGTTGCTACAAGGAGAAATCTCCATCAAATTAGTAGCCAACATGACACAGGCTGACACATCCCTGCAGGGGTGCAGAGCACTTGGCAAAGGCCATCGAGGGACAAATCCTGCTGGGGCTTTGGCGCAGGGGCAGCCGCTCTCCTCGCCAATGCCTTGCAGAGGAGAGAGAAAGTGCTCAGTCTCTGCTGCCATTTAAGCACAGGGACAGATGCCAGCAGAGCTGCCCTGAGGCTTGTAGCTCCTTTCCTCAAGGTCACGGGAGAAGTCTGCGGCAGGGACGAGAATAGACCTTGGCATCTAGTGACCTGGAGGCTCTGGGTGATGCGGGGCCCCCCTCTGCCAGCCCTCCTGCCCCACCTCTCTAGGGAATGAACATCATGGATATGAACCTCAGGATCGTGGTGGATGTGAACCTCGGGATCAACCAGATAAAAGCAACCAGATATGGAAGGACTGACAAAATGCTTTGTGATTGCTTGAGTGTGGAGTAAACCTGGGGCTGGAAGAAATGTTGGGGTTCTTCTCCATAGCCCCCTGCAAGTGGGGACCTTGCTGGGCTCCTCCAGGTGACCATGAGCATCATTGGGCCAACCCTGGGCCAGCGCATCTGCACTGCAAGAGTCACCTGAGGTTTCTTTATGGGTTTCCTTGGCATGGCTGCAGTGACATCGAGCTGTCTGGCCCCAGAGACCACAGGAAGAGCATAGAGACACAAAAAAAATCTGTTTGTCCATCCAGGATGGGGTTGTGCTGAGCCAGGTGGGGTCTGACTTGTGTAAATTAATCCCTCGTGTGAAGGACCCACTGCCCTGAGGTCCCTGTTCACCAGCAGCTGCAAGTGGGAGATAATTTGAGGTCTGCCTAGGTGGTCTTTCCCATTTTCTTTCTCCCCCTGAACTCAAGGCTGTCCTTCCCACCATGCTGGCTGCCCATAACTGCTCAGTGGGATCAAGCCTCCAAATCTTCTCGTTTTTTTTATCACTTGTTGCTATTCTGCTACCTTTCTGTGCCCCTTCAGCCTTTCGGTGTCAACTGAATCCCCTTCTCCGAGCATCGCTTTGGTTTGAAAAACAGCCTTGTTATCCCCTGCAGTCCCTCAGCCTGCGCAGGAGAATGTTTGGAGACCTGTGGAGCGGCACAGACTGGGATCGTTTTCCCCAGGGTCTTGTCCTGGGTCGTGTTTCCTCAGCCCTGGCTGGCTTTCCCTCTCTGCTCGTTAGCAGCCCTGTAATATTTTTCAGTGGTGCGGAGGAAGCCTGCCTTCACGTGCTGAGGGCATCGCCTCCTCACGGCACGGACCACCTCCCGCGCTGGAAGCCGGGTAAATTTAGCAGGGAGTCTAGACCTTCTCGGTCAGACGTGAGCTAATTTTGCAAAGGGGGTGTGTATGTGCATATACGTGTGTGTCTGGCATTAAACTGCTGTTGAGAATGTGTTGAAATACCCTGTGACCCCTTCCCATGAGCCTTTTAATCAGTGTCTATTTGCATATAACACTCACTTCTTGGGTCATGGTAATGACAGGATTAAGAGCATCGCTGATGGAGGAGGTTAAAAATAGCCAGGGCCAGCAAAAGTAGAAAGAAAAAGTCCTCTTGTAGCTGAGTGGCACATAGAAACGCACGAGCCCGAGCTCCTGCCAGTCAAGTCAAGTGCTTTTTCCACTGATGAGTGGAAAGTGATGTCAGGGTGAAATGATACTTCTCTGTTAAGGGAAACGCTGCTGTACAGGCAGGAGTGATTTACTGCGGGGAGGAGACAGCAGCCGGGACACACATGGAATACCCTGGGGCTGTCCAGGAGAGGGGAATAAGCCCCTGGTTGGGTTTTGAAGGAAAACAATGGATTTGAACTACTTATAAACTGTTTGTTGCCTTTGGGCAGCGATTTTGTGTGGTGGGGGAAGGCTGGGACCCACAGCCCTACCCTCTCTTCTGCCACTGCTGTACTGCACAGCCTTGGGTGCATCACCTCTCCTCCCAGCAGCAAAATCCCCATGCCTCGAGACCTCAAGAATCTGGAGGTCTGATCCTGCAGCCACGTCATCCTGATGTGTCCTTATTTTGGTAGAGGTGTTCCTATAGGCAGCATCGGGCCCCAAACCTTGGTGAGGTTGAGCACTTCATTAGCAGTAGCCTTGCACTCATTAATCTCTGACGCGGGGGTAGCATCTTAACCTTCTTCCTGCATAAGACTGTTTGCAGAGTACACCTCATTTAACAAAACATTAAGCATTTTACTTCCTCAGATCAAGTGTATCTATTAATAATGACTGAAATTGTCTGCGCCGGCTTCACATTACGAGGAAAACTCATTCCTGGCACATGAAAGAGCACGATACACAGAAGCAAAATGAATTCAGCGTGAGCTTGTTCACCAAGTTAAGCTGCCACTTAACAACTTAGTCCACACACCAGGGAGATTTCAGCCCGTAATAATTTGCCCTGACATTCCAAAAAATCCTCATGAGGCTGCCTTAAAAAATCCGTCGAGTCCAGATGTGCCCGTGCTGAGAGCTCCTGGCGTTGCCACCGTGATTTACAGCTGCCCTCCGGCACTGGGAAATGGCGTTATTTTTTAAATTTTTTTTTTTTTTTTTTTTTCCCAGGGAAATCTCCAGCGTGATGAGGGAGCCCAAGGGCTGGAAGCCCACAGCACTGCCTCCTCCAGCTGCTCTCCAGCGTGGATTGCGATGTGTGACTGATTTAAAGCTTACGCCCCTGCTGACCCTCTAAAATCATTAAAACGAGCTGAGCAGTGGAGCTCCCTGCCATGGCTGTGTCCCACCCCTGGCACTCCGGTGGGATGGGATGCTGTGCCCGGGACTGGGAGGTGGGCAGATGGGTTGGCGAAGCCACCGTGCTGTGACATAAACCATCGGCTGCCTGAGCCTACCTTGGCGGGACGGCGGCGTGAGGGCAGCTCTCCCGGGCGATGCTTGCTCCTTCCCCCTGGGCACCAGCCCCGGCCAGACAGCGTGGGACAGGAGGTTCAATGTCCTTTCTCAGAGCCAGGTGCCACCTTGCAAACAGCCAACCTGTTGCCAAAAACATCCCCACGTTTATATTTTCAGCCCTCTCCCCGCCTCCCCACTCCATGTGACGGCGCTGCCCAGTTATGTGGCTGAGCGAGGCGGGCCGGGGTGTGGG